GGGTTTGCGGATTGGAGAGGCAACTAGGCAAGTGCGATGCTTACTTCCTGCCAATACAGTTTCGTGGACCGACATGGAATGGCTGAAAAATGTTTCGGTTGTCGTTTGCGAACCTTGCGTCTCCCAAAAATCTCTCGGGATGGAAGTTGAAGGGGTCCTGGAAGTGCTCTTCCATGTGATATACAGCCCAATGGTGGACGCCCACAACGGTCTGAGGTCAGGTAAGCATCCATTTGTATAATTCTCGTCATCTTTCCCGCCTCATGGAGGGCCAACTACTCACGCCTTTGGGCAAGAAGGTTCCTGCAACCATGCCGCCCTCCTTTGGAGTGGTTCTTGGCAACGCAATTGCAACAGGCGGATACATTCGGAGAGCTTCATCTAAACAGGCTAGCATATACCGAAGTCTACTGGCAGATTCGATAGTAATCTCGTCTTCATCGGCAAAGGTCGATCGGACTTCCTCTGTCAGGCGCTTGAGGGTGTGGGGATTAGATGTGAGTAGGTACGTGACACCAGAGAGGACGGTGGCCGTCGTCTCGGATCCTGCAATAACTAGCAGCGTGGAATTCGACTCTAACTGCTCAATCGACATGTTCCACTCATCCTTCTTCTTCAAGACACCGTCTATCAGATCATCCCTACTGCCAGCTTCGATTCTTTTTTGCAGCTTTGCTTTGTTGATCTTGTCGTGGAATCTCTGCTTCTCGAGGGCCCGATTGGGAAGTATCCTCGTTACGATACGCTTCAGGAGAGGGTAATAGTCTTCGACCTGGAAATAGGCTCCCAGACGGCTCAACTCAAAAATACACTTGACCCATTCGTGGTAGTCGGAATTTTCAAGACAGTCGAAAGAGTCTCCAAAGGCTAAATCACCGATGATGTCAAATGTGGTGAAATTGTACCACGAATCCATGCGAAGGGGGGTCTTGCCGTTATCGTTCCACTGGTGTAGTCGCTTGATGAGGAGATCGACAAAGTGCACGATACGTGACTCTTGGCCTCTCATGGACTTGTCTGAGAATCCATGAGATAGTTGCCGTCTCAATGCGGCATGTTCGTCCCGACCCGAGTATATTATGTCTGGTGGCGTAAGTGCAGCTCTACCCGGTCGGTAAATGGTACGATATTTGGGGAACTCTTCGGCGTTGTTCTTGTGCCCCATGATGTCTCTCCACGCCTCAGCATCACTGAAAGCAAGCTCATTGGGTGCAATTCGCACAATGGATCCGTATTTCTTATGCAGATGAAGTACAGTAGCATGATGCCTTCCGCTGAGCAGAGAACGCAAATAAGGGATTCGAGAAGCCGCACAGAACCAAGGGCCAGGGTATTTTCTCAAAGGGTGCAACCACAGGTTGTAAATCCAGCAACCTGCAGTATATATTATGACCTATAATGCTTTAGTACGGAACGCCCCAGTAGCAATGTTGAATATCATTGATTTTGGGAGAGTACTAACAAATAACGACAGGGCTCCTGCGATGAGCCCAAGACGGCTTGAAACCTCAACCAACTGCACCATGATTGCCGGATATTATGCGTGGTAGAACAGGGCACAGAATGGAGCAGATACAATGATTTTCTGTCTCTAGATTTTCATTCGTCAGTGCCGCGGCCTCAGAAATATCGTCGTTGCCTAATATATGCACCAGTACTGGTCGATATGGTTTGCGGCTAAGTCATGATGTTGTGCGACTTGAGACAGATGCCTCTGAGGAGAAAATGTGCCTCATAGCCGCAATATATCTTGTCGGCAGTCTACTCATACGGAGCGTGGCGCAATCTTCTCTGCGGCACCCAAGTGAATGAGCACCAGCCAGTGAATCTTTGGTCCATTCCTCAACGTCGTCGCTGATATGCAGACAATCGGCTCCCGACGCTCCCAGCTGACTTGAAACTGGTACTGAGCGGGGAGATATTTGCGGAGTTTCGTTTAGCTGGAAAACACTGACCAACTACAGGCGGTGTAATTGGAGGATCGACGTCGCATCGTAAGTTATGCAGCCCTTCGGAAAGTGAGTAACCACCGCTTGGGCTTCGCTTCTACTAGGACCAGAGCCTGGTCAATGCTGATTGTCTAGTAGGATACATTCAGGGCGAGATATGGAGTAGAGGGGCTAAGACGGAGTGATATATCATCCGTCATCATTGCGTCTTATTCACTCAACTACGCGGTACATCGACTAGGTGTTGGTCAGAAGCATTACGGATACAAGTTCATACATACATATGTACAATGAGCGTCGTTGGTATCCTTGGAACATGGCCCAGTGGATAAGTGCCGAGATGACAAGCGGCCAGCCACGAAAGCGTAGCTTGCTTTCTGACCAAGAACCCAGGTGCTACGGAGTACTGCTGGCGGGTAGATCCCGGTCTCCACCCCCAAATGGTTGGAATGGGCTGGAATGGCTTTTCTCGGCCGACCAAGGTCACGCCCTGGTAGGTGCAGGTCTCTTGAGGATAGTCCTCATTGGGGCTTCTCCAAAGGCCTCTGAGAATCCGGTAGCATTTAGGGTGGACCAGCTACCCCCAGGCAGGGCAGGTCTGTGTGCAAGACGAGACTCAGTCGACAATGCTGAAACAGGAGCCCAAGTGGAACGAAGACATTGTGGCGATGATGAAAACTTGACGGGCTGTCTAGGCTCCTGTACATGCGCCTTGTCCAAAGCACGGGTGGTATTGTGGCTGGGAAAATGTCGTCCAAGGCCGCAACTCTCACCACTTGCCAAGATTTTCATTTTCCTCAACAAGATATTTACTCCGGAGAACACAGCCGCCCGGCAGAAACTCCGCAATAAGAGATCAAATTGTTCCTCCATCTTATGTACAGTCGAAGCGAACTCCGCCGTCTAGAGCTCTCCGGCCAGCGATCTCGCGTAATGGAATGCTTCCCGCATATATAGGAGTCTAGGCAGAATGCAGGCTGCGGTTGAGGGTCCGCATAGGACCCCGGGCTCACCGTGTCAGTGGCGCGGGATGAGTGTGAGCCGATGGCGCGATTCAACTGATTGTCTTTGTTCTCTTGAGATGGAGTGCAGCGCTGGATGTAATACGCGTATCGTAGGTGGACGGCTTGGAATGCTTGCGAACACGGCCACGTTGGAGGTCCTGGGACAATGCGGAACGCGTATGTAAGTGTGGTGCATGAAGCCCGCAGCCAATAGCTTCCGTGGCAAACCAGGTTCATTCATAATCATCTGCCGCCGAGTATCTCCTATTTGAGGCACACTTATGTTATCACTCCGCGGCAATACCAGGCATCGCTTCTTCTTCAAATGGGGCCATGACTGCTGACAGTTCGGGCCGAGCTACGGAGTACTGGTGCTCTCGAATGAAATCGACACGATAAACTGTACCTCACACGCTCAGTGTACCAGACATATGTGCACGATCTTCAGAAAGAAAAGTAATTGCTCTTGCTAACCAAGAATTGACCAGAAACCCCAGGCAACACGCTCAAGCCTGCGTTGCCCATACACAGAGGCCATGCTTTACAAGCAGCAGTAGACGCATAGCCACAACAAGATGTAGAAATCAAGGCAAAAACACCACCAAGAAAGAAGCAACTATTACCTACAAGATCTGCCCGCCAGCGCAAACAGTCCAGCTCTTGACCATCTCTCCATTCCGTCTCCCTGGCATGTGGCAAAAGCAGGCCATCTCATCAACACCAAGCAAGTATCGCATTTCAAATCCTGAGACGACTGTATATATTCCACGGCTCATATACTACCACCAGTATAGCCCTGCAGACACAATAATACCATCCATCCCCCTCATGACATGACGTCCAAACGCCCCAGGTCTCAAGCCCAGGCAAAAAAAAATGATCATCAAACCCATGTCCCGAAGGTCTACAGTCTTGGCCCGAGCACAAATCAACCAGCTATCACGAAATAAAAACCCCCCGTTGAGCTCTGTCAGAATTCGTCTTTCCCAGCTTTTTTCGCCAAGCCTTTTTTTTCGAGGTCATGTCCATGTTGACCAACGACTCTCTGCCTTGATGGTGTCCCGGGCAGTAGCTTGTAGGAAATAACGAGACCTTTTTAAGAATTAAAAAATGGCCCGCCGGGGTAGATAAATAACCCAAATCAATTCAACCACAGCTGGTCACAAGGTCAAGCACGGTCACGATACACGAGCCAACTAGAGGTCTAGCCGGAAGGCATTGAAACCCAGGCATCTAAGACTTAGATGCCTCGGTCATCTAGGTCGGGTTACACACACGGAAGGTCTTATATATATACATGGCCCGTAGGTCAGGTCCCCTAGATTGTTGAACCAAGGACCCTTTGACACCATACGAGATTATTACTCTAATATGAAGCTTTTCCCTTCCAAGCCATTGTTATCAAGGCCCTTGTTACAGACTAGGTCGAATTTCCTGGGTCAGGGCCTAAGGAGCATATTATCCTACTATGTGTATGAGTCGTGATATCCCACTATATATATGGAACGTGATATCCCACTATGTGTATGGAACGTGATATCCCACTATATATATGGAACGTGATATCCTACTATGTGTATAAGTCATGACAACGCAATTCCAAGTCTGCCAAGCAAATGCCGTAATATGTCGCAATATCCTACTATATATATAAGCCGTGATATTCTACTATATGTATGAGTCGTGATATCCTACTATATGTATAGGTCGTAATATCCTACTATATGTATAAGTCATGACAACGTAATTCCAAATCTGCCGAGCAAATGTATTCTCTTCCTTGCTCTTCATGACTAGATATGTCTTTCGCCTGAAAATGCCTATTCATGCAAAATAACATGGGCCGTATATGCGCTGCTACATCGAGAGTGGTAAATTGGGGCCATACATGAGAGTATATATATATATATATATATATCTGTTCATCTTTATACCTCTATACAAAGTAAAGACTGCTCTACAACTTGGCAATTGCTCTGACCCTTGACTTTTGAGTCACCCAGCGATCCTCCACGTCTGCCGAATATATATGCAATCCTCTAGCGTCATGCATTTCCATCGTGCCAGTCTACCCCTTCTGGGGGCCCTGTCCCTCTCGGCTCGAGCTGCTCCTCAGTCGGAGGATCTGACTGCCCAGAGGCCTGGAATCATACAGCTGTCTCTCAAACCCCCAAGCGCGAGGGACGGGCGCCAAGCCGATATTGACCTGACGTACGCCTCCAATTACAAGTACGATATAGAGTTCTCTCTTGGCACACCCGGCCAGAAAATTGTCGGCAGCTTCGACACCGGCTCTGCACACATATGGGTAAGAGAGAAAGCAGAAGCTTCAGTCAACACCACCGTCGCCAGGGCTCGTTCCTACTTCGACAAAAATAGCAGCTCGACTCTTGTACGTACAGGGGGATCAGCGACCTCCGGGTACAATACCGCCGGTAATTCGTCCTATCAAATCGACCTGTACCGGGATAATATGTCTCTAGGTGGTGAGTGATTTTCGTTTGCGACGGCATTTGTCGCCCATGTAGATTGGCTTCTGTTGATACTGACCCTGAGAGTTGGCGCAGGCATTGACATCAAGAACGCCAGCTTTGGCATTATTAATAATGCACCGAGGGCACTGGATAGTTTTAACAGCATTTTCGGTTTCGGTATGACTGATGAGCTCGGAAGTGAGGAGAAGGAGCATTTTGTTCCCACAATGACACTCCTGGCCGATCAGGGCTTGATCGACAGGCGAGTCTTTAGCCTTGAGATTGGAGATAGTAGCGGCGTCCTTCTTGGCGGTGTCAACCGGAAGAAGTTCTGGGGTCGTCTCGGGAAGCAGAAAATGACTGTGCATCCCTTCCACGGCAAGAGGTAGGTCCAACGCCAAAACCCAAGCTTGAAGTGTTTGATGCGACTCGGGCTAATTTATACCCAAAGCTACGTCATCTCCTTTACCGAGGTCTCTGCTACGGCTGAGGACGGGTCGAAATCTAGTTTAAGTCGATCTGATGAAGGCATTCCTGCACTACTCGACACCGGCGCTACCCTGAATAATTTCCCGCCCTCTGTTTTCCAGCCAATTTTAAAGAGGTTTCCTGGCGCTAAACCCATGGACAACCGCCCGCTCTACAGCGTTGATTGCTCACTCCGTGATGTCAATGCCTCGATCGACCTCGCCTTTGGCAAAACAACTATCAAGATGCCATATCGCAACTTCGTCTTCCCGACTAATAAAAAAGGCGACTTGTGCGTTCTTGGTATGATGGAGTCCCAAGGTGAGTGCGACGTATACTTCTCTCGTCCTTGGAGAGCCAGACGCTTATATACCTCTAGAACACACAGTGCTCGGCCAAGTGTTCATGCGCGGCGCCTATATAGTCATGGATCAAGACAACTCGGAGGTCTATCTGGCCAACGCCGTGACGTGCGGTTCCGAACTGGTAGCTATCGACAAGGACGTTTCCGCTATATCTTCTCTCACCGGGCAGTGCCGGCCCCCCGTCGTGGAACAGAATCTTTTGCCGTGGAAAAAGCCTGGCATAGATCCTGAGAATTGTGTGAACGCGATAAGCGAAGACGTTTGTGGGACAGCCGAATACTGTAGGATCTTCCCAGGGGCATTTGGCAGCGACTTTGAGACGGAAGATGACTGCCTCGCCGCTCATGAAGTTCCACTCGATGATTGAAGGCGCAGACGAGGGCTAGAGACTTGTGTTGTTTGGGAAAATAAACGTTGCTTGTTGGTAAAGCGCCTAGGTTCGTGGGGACCCGCCAAGTGTACTCTGCACAGTATGAATATCTAGTCACATGGACACTTCTGAGGTTACTGGCACTGTATCGGCGTATATTTCTCAACTGCATTTTTATTTGACAACTAGACAGTCCTGCCCATTGAGCGAATACAGTGCCTTTCGCTCTACTATGTCTTTCTCTATGCTCATTATAGCTGTTTGCCCTACCTATAAATCGTTAGCTTGGTGGATTTCAAAAATGTAAGAGGGCCCCAGAGCGTAATGACCGTCTTCCCCGTCACGGCCCAGCTTCCTCCGGGCGGTCCTTGCACCCCATGGCAGTCCAGTTCCCCCTGCCCGCCTTGTTTCAACCCGCGCCGCCACCGGCGAATTATCAACAGATGAAGATGCGACGAGTAAACTGCACAAATCGCCCGGATGTGAACCATCACCAACCGTTGTTTCACGACAACATGTCAAACAAAAACTGACGCCGGGCAGACGCATGGGTAGTACCATTATAGCTCGGCAAAACCATGGATCGATCAGCATTTCAGCAAAATCACACCCCCCCTTCGTGTTTCCCGCACTCAACCTCGGTGCCGCAGGTCAAGCAACAATTCACACATACGCCACGCCATGCAACACCATCCAAGACCAAGACTGCAAAAATGAAGCATCTCATCCTTGTTGGAGCATGCTACCTAGACACAATCCTTAGGCAAGTCATCCCTGCGCATGCGCCGCCACTTTGGCACGCACGCGCGGCATACTACTGACCTGCCCTGCAGCGTGCCTCACTTCCCCCAAGAAGACGCCAAGCTCCGCGCGACAAATCTCACGATCCGCAGGGGAGGCAACTGCCCGAACTCACTCGAGGTGCTCCAGCAGCTCGTTACAGACAAAGACAATACGCAACTGCACCTCGTGTCGTGTCTGCCGCGCCGGGATGCCCCCAGCACCAGGAGAATCATCTCGTCATTCGGGCCTGACACCAGAGTCGATTTCCGGCACTGCATATATAGGGAGGGGTATACGGAGGCTGCGAGCAGCTACATCATCAGAAGCCAGCAGAGCAATAGCCGCACCATTGTGAATTACAACCATTTGCCGGAAATGACGTGCCATGAGTTTGCCCAAGTGGTGGACGGCTTTGATGGGCATGAGCCGACATTGTGGCACTTCGAGGTGAGCGCTGCATTTGCCTTCTCTTTCGGCTACTGAATCTGGCGCTGCAAGGCCGTCATTTGGTACTATCCCGACGTGCGACAGCCTTCTCTGGTCTGTGATTTATCTTTGAGGCAGAGGAATTGTGACTGATGACTTTGGCTTGCTTTTTGTCCGCGGCACAGGGCCGCATCCCGGAGACTACCCTCGCATGCATGCGTCTGCTCCGACAGAAGCTGCCCGAAGCAAACATCAGCGTCGAGGTTGAGAAGCCCGGAAGAGAGGGACTATCACAACTCGCCCAAGAAGCCGATGTTGTCTTTTATTCTCGGGTGTGGGCAGAGGTAAGGATTCCATCACTTAGTACGCGCAGTCTTGACAATTTGTACTCGGTCCCTCCCTCGTCGTCTCATCTATTCCTCCTTTTGTTGTGCCCTCGCCTCACTGAGACAGGCTGCCTGGAACAGCCATGCTCATGACTAATGTACAATGCGTAATGCTAGAGCCGAGGACACAGGTCTGCCAAAGCATGTCTCACAAAAGAACGCCGCCATCAAGGGTAAGTGACACATGCCGTAACTCTCCTTTTTTTTGGTCTTTTCCTTGTCAACGATTCGACTGACATGACATACACAGATCACTCGGATTGTGCACTTGGGGTGCAGACGGGGCGACTATCATGTCTCAGGCAACCGGAGCCTGTCTTCACTGCCCCGTGGAGAGCGAGTCTGGCCAAATATCCGTTATAGAGTGAGTCCCAACCCAGCAAGCTTTTGCAGAGACACTCATTGGACATCAGAGGCTTGGAGGAGACCGACTCTCTGCAAAGGCAGGAAGCGCCTAGATTTGCGCCATGACGGCGGTAACAACATGGCTAACTGTATGCCACCTTGGCCCTTTACTTCACAGTCCTGTCGGCGCTGGCGATACATTCATTGCCGGAATGCTTCTCAGCTTGATACGCAACGACTGGCCCTTGTCGGATATCGGCAAAGCAGCATCATTTGCTGTAAGGCTAGCAACCTTGAAAGTCCAGAGAGAAGGTTTCGGAGGACTTGGGCTGGATATTGCGTCACGATAGTCAGTTCCCGCCAATCTCTTAGGTCCTTTTTTGTCACTTCCGTTGGCAAAGGAGGCCGCCGACAACCAGACAAGACGCGGGTTCATTCTGACGGCCATTTGTTTCTGCTGTGTTCTATTGCAAAAGAAAGAAGCCAGGCCAGTCACAGGAGTTTGCCTGACTAGAGTGAGGCATCCGGAACAGTTGCTTGCTCACTTATCAGAACGTGTAAGACACAAAAGCTTTCAATCAGGATATGGAAATGGATACGTCATTGAAACTCAGCACCCCTTGGATCGGATTTGCTTTCCCAATCGACTCTTACCAGTGGCCACATATATTGCCCAGCCCACAGACGGCGGCAGCCGTCAAAGAGTCACTCGTTCGCGGCAGCATTGGTCAGGACAGTCGATATCGGCGCATGGTTTTCCGAGCCCAAAGAACTGACAATGCGTCGAGGTGACGGGCAAATACGCTGTCCAAGGCGGGTGATAAGCGGTCGTTCCTTGGGGGCGCCAGAGTTCTGGTGCTGCCAGCAGACTCGGTACTGCCAGCCCATTTCCCATGCAGCGTGACTCTCCAGCAAGTCAAGATCAACATATTCAACCCGGGATCAAGCCCTGCAGCATGGCAGACACAAGCACGAGCAAATCATCACCTATCAAGAAGGCGACTAATGGCCTTTTGTCTGGTAGAGCGACTTCCTTCTGCATGTTATGGAACTTGGCTGGGTGTCAGATTCCACCAGGTCGAAGAGTCTTGGCGAGGGACGGGACATCAGCCCCTGGTAATACGTAGTCCTGTCCACGAGGCTGAGTAAGTCCAAGGAACATCTGCTGTGGGGCTATTCTTGGTGGGAGAGTTGTCTCAGTTGCGAGAAACCGAAGTTTTCGTCCAGCTATCCAGCCTCAGGCGAGAGCAGCCCCGTCAATACTTATGTCGATCCTATTACTCATTGTGCTTGTTCGTTGGCAGTGACCCCCTTATTCGTTTGTGGCAATGTTGCACGTACATACACACTGGCCCGAGGGCCAGCTTGTCGCAAAACACCACCCGGATCGCTGTGTGCGGCCTTTTCATCACAGGCCAGAGACTCGGAGGCCGGTGCATGTACTCTGTAGGGGCGCTACGGTCTTGGGGGTGTTCCCTGTCGACGGCGGACCTTCATAAATATTGTAAAATGCTCCATCTTGAGATTGACCAACAGTTTTCCACAACGATGGGAGGGGGTAGTGCGACAGCCGGATACGTTTTTCTTTGGTCGACGCTGAAAAAGGTGGCTGAAAGTTGTGTAATAAAGGTACCTAATATATTAGCTTTTTTTCCACAAATGTTATTTGCAGGCCCGGAGAAGCTACATGGAACCCTGTACTTTGAGAAGAGAGGGTATGTGACGCCAACATGCACATGAGAGATCCCCAAGCGACCGCATGGAGCCGTTGCGGACAACTCGATGTTGGCTGCGCCGGCTACGGCGGTTGCAGCTGGAACAGGCGCTTCCCGGTGCCTGATACCGCGATTTCCGGTGGCATTAATGCTTTCCGTAAAGAGGCCCCTCGGGGCGATTTACCACACAGGTTATGGTGTCTGATCAAGTCACTGCATGCAAAGTCTCGACAAGGGGGATAATGCCGACTCGCAGCCCCTACTACTCCGTGCTCCGTACTGACTCCGTACTCGGTATTGGTTCCAGATTGCCCATTGCGGAAAGAATGCTCGGTAGCATGCTCGAGCTCGAGGGGTAATTTAACACTTGATAGCATGCCAATCATGTTCTTCTGCACACCTTCGGTTAGCGGGAACGAAGAGTCAGTCCCTAACAATGGAGTCTGGGAGCAAACGTGTAAAGCATGTCCATACAACGGAAGCCTTGATGCAGGAAAGCAAATAGTTTGCCCATGTCAAAACCGGACAGGCATTTTCTCCCATGATGCCCATGTTGGAAAGAAAGGGGCGTGCGCATTGCCTGGTCCGGCCCAGACTCGAAGGCTGCCGCCGCAGAATATGACAATATTTGAGAGCTCAAGGGAGCAGCTGATCAAGTCAAGTTACGACCGATATTCTACCGCGCAGAGACATGGTGAGGAACGGGTAAAGTTCAAAGCGTCTTGTTCCAACAATAGGCAAGCCATAATCTTAAGGTTTTTGGAGTTGGGGGCGTGTGCGTCTGGGAGAAAGAACCGAGGGGTTCGGAGTGCACTCTCGAGTTCCAGCATCGTTTCCCCTTCCAGCACACCCAAGCCCTGTGGCCCCCTCGGCTCTTGCTTATTTTTCTGCTAATACTGGAGGCTCAACCCCGGCATGCCTGGAACCGCAAAGATGGCCTGTGAATCTGGAAAGGTGGTGTGGGGTTTGAACGTAGCCTTTGCTCACTGCCTCGACTTGTGACGGCGCATGTACGTACGTATTACGGAGTACAATACTCCGTACTCCGTGCTATGCGCCCAGCTCTGCCATGTACTTACTTGGGTGAAATTGGAAAGCGACATCAGCTCCTGTCCCTTCACCTGTCTCAGATGTACGTACGTACATCCATGTCCAGGCATCATGGTGCACGCGGCGTTGAGTCCCAAATGACACCCTTGGCATCGCTACTCTGTAGCAGCTCCGCCATTAGAAGCATGCGAGTAGTTATCATGATGCCCTGGGCTGAGCGAACGGCATGAATCATGTGCATCTCCAGGATCTGATGGCAACCTGGCTCAATGTTTCTCCCACCAGGGGATACCAGGAATTAGGACCATGTACATACATATGTATCATACCTAGTACTCAGTACGGTGCCAGTAAAAGTCAAGACTACTGGCGCCCAATTTTTTATACAAGTATTCAGACTCACCAAATTTGTTTTCCTCCTCCTCAGGACAGGAGCCCCGCCAATACAATTTTTTTAATTACTAGTCGCCGTGGACGGAGTGCAGCATGTGCCAAATGCCTGCTCTCGCGACCACATGTCATTTCTGATGAGAGATCAGCGATCCTCGGTGCCTCAAGAAAAAGGCCGCCGTTGGTGGTGTTGCTTTGATGGAGCACCCCTTGCTGCATACCAGGGCTGCTGTTGTGTCTCGGCAAAAACAGGAGAGCGCCACAGCCGGCCCAACGTAAGGAGTTAAAGTAGTAGTATACATACGTACCTGGGTATGTTGTATGTTCATACTATTTGCAGAACTCTTGTTTGTCGTGAAACGCCTGCATTTCTCGTTGGCGTCCGTGTACCTCTTCCAAGATGTCACCACACATGCATTATGAGGCTAGTGCAGACTGCATATCATGCTGATGATAAACCCGCCAGACACAGACATGCTCCCGCAACGCTTCGGGAAATGGCACTCTGGCAGATTACCATCCACACTGGAGCGTCCTTTTTTTTTTTTGCTGACCGCGTAATCAGACAATACATGTTGAGAAACAACCATCTGGCCCACAAACTTTGGGGGCAGCTTTGAACTCGACGTGACTCTGTAAACGGAGATCGAAGCACATATTGTTGCCCGCTTGGACAGAAATACACGAGTTTTCGCCCAGAAACTAAGTGCATAATATGGGCAAGGCCCGTTTACTTCGGGTGTCACCGGCGTATTGAGGGACAGATACCACGACGTCTCGAATTCCATTCGCCTCTCGTAAGAGACACCACGATATTCCGGGTTATTGGTTCAGGTGACACCGATCGGCGGCGATATTAGTCGAGTTTGTTTATGCCAGCGTGTTTTTTCTGCCTGTCTTCCTATCAGATAACGGAAATACCGTCATGAGGTATCGTACAATGCAATACACGTAGCCATAACAGACCTCCATGATGACCGAGAAAGGACGTCACTGGTATCGCAAAACTTGTAATCTTCCAACAGATTCGCAAGACAGCAAAGAGCTGGTTCACGTAGTTTTTTTTTAAAAAGCACAGCGCGAGCCGGCGAATTCTGTGTTCATCCCGTTTGCGATCGAGTAGTTACAGTCCTGACTTAAGTAACACGATGCTCTAACCGTATTCGAAGACCATTTCTGCCCAAGAGTGCGTTGAAGAAATATATCGAACTGTGGCTCGTCTGAATTGGTGACAATAAGCCCCGATAGATCTCATTTGCCTTTCGATGAAAAAAAAAAAAAAGCAAAGCCGGCGAGTTACCGGTATCGTCGTGGAACGACCAAGGTATTGTGTTTGATCGACGTGTTTTTCACCAGGACGGTAGTACGATTGTTTTGAGAACCAACAACCATGTGCAACTTGAATTCTCCCGTCGGTATAATGCAATCCCTGGATATGTAGGGAATAGGTAGGAAGCGTTCTTTAACTTCTGTAACCTGATGGGGCTTACGTACATGCCAAGCATCAATATTGACCTCCGTTGGAAAGACGATCTAACCCTTGGGTGAGACAGTGTCGCCTCACTGTAGTTGGCCATTGTGTAGTAGGTAACCTGCTAGAGAGAGAGTTTTATAAACGAGAGCCCGTGAAAACATCACTATTGTGAGCCTTATGCTATCGTGGCCGATTCCGCATCATCAGGCTTGTGAATAGTTCCCGTTTTGACTGAGACCTTGAGCATCGGCCAACAGTGTTGCGTCATCCTCAATGAACGAGGGGACAATGTCTAATTGGACATGGTTCTATGGGGAATAGTACTCCGTACTGGTGGTATACTGCCCCCTTCTGTATACTTCAAAAATCTTTGTAGATGCAAAACCGTGTCCCAGTCACCTAGGCACGTTCCACGTATTACGTATGTACAATCAGACACTGACCCTGCAGCAGCTTTCGTGGCGTTCTACATGTCGTTCTGAGTCTGGGGAATGGCGGTTTCTGTTTGGGTAACCAAAAAGAGTTAATAGGCCCGGCGCCTGAACGGTTGGTGGGTGTGTTGCAGTGGCTTTGAGAGTGACAAAAGCCAATGGATGATGTAGTCTTCGAGTACAATAGCCGATTGGCATAAGTGCACCAAGACAGTGTCTGCATCTCTGCCGGTGGACTCCGTGCCCCGTGACCTTGTGATTGACACTCGCGAGGTAAAAGGAGGGTAGGA